TGTAGATAGTTCGATTTCAGTGAAAATAATAGCTGATTAAAAAACGTATGATATGTCCTGAGCTTGTTACTTTTATAATGAGGTCATCAAAACACATAACCCCCACTAGGAGTAATCACAAATAGAATCTAAAAATAAATGTACCTAAAAATAGATTGACTGAAGTCTTAACTCTTAGATAGAAGATTCATTGTGTCATGTATAAACTATAATTTAATAAATCAAATTTTCTTATAATAAACATAATATAAATTATACCAAACATTGATGTCAACTAATATAATGAAAAGGAGTTGACTCCCACTAAATTAAGGCCTGCTAACAAGCCCTACTAACGAAAAGGAGATAAATTCACACAATTGCCAAATTTTGAAATATCACTATAAACAAACTAGAGGCTCTAAAGAGCCTGTGTCACTCACCTTGGTCTATGTGCATATCAAACAAAGGACACTCTCCAACATTGTAGACGAGAATAGAATTCATAAGAAAAATCTCTGTTTTGCTGATCATTCAGTCTATTTAGGTTCTCTCTATCTTCTTTAGTTTTGCTCAAAACTCAAAAGAGGGTAAAAATAAATTCTTATTTAAGGGTTGGGCAATCACTCCTATGAAGAGTGACAGCCTACTACCTTTATCACCAAAATGTGACTTGTTAGCAGATTGGATGATTTCCTCTATATTGTCTTAATTGTAGATCTTGTCTTGCTGTTCATTTTTGCTTATTTAAGTTTCTATCTATCTATTATAATTTTTAAGAAATAAGGCATAAACGCAAAATATTGTAAAAATCATCATCAAAGGGCAATAACTCTCATATGGAGTAGGCTGACGAATTCAACAATGTCTTGCTGATCATTTTTGCAATTTAATGTTTCACAGTATCTATTAAAAGTTTTCAAGAAAATAGGCAAAAATGAATAAAAAAGGTAAAATTTGTCTTTTAAGGGCAATAACTCCTATAAGAAGTCGTCTGACAATTTTGACGTATCTGGACAGTTGGTAGAGCTCAACATTCTGAACATTTTTGCCCTGTCAGATTTTCTCTATTCATAACGGTTTTCAAAATAATAGACAAAACTTGCATTTTACCTCTATGTTCTATTTTTAGCCATGTCGGCCATGTTGTTTGGCAGGCGGGTTCATGGGACATATTTTTTGAACTAGATACCCTAATGATGATTGTGGCCAAGTTTGGTTAAATTTGTCTCAGTAGTTTCAGAGGAGAAGATTTTTGTAAAAGATGACAAAAATTTACAAAAAATTGTTAAAAATTGACTATAAAGGGCAATAACTCCTTAAGAGGTCAATTGAAATTTTGATCATGTTGACTTATTTGTAGATCTTTCTTAAATGAACATAATTGCTGTTTACAGTTAATCACTATCTATATTAATATTCAAGATAATAACCAAAAACTCCAAAATTTCCTTAAAATTACCAATTAAGCGGCAGCAACCCAATAAGGGGTTGTCTGATTTGTCTGAAAATTTCAGGACAGATAGATCTTAACCTGATGAACATTTTACCCCTTGTCGGATTTGCTCTAAATGCTTTAGTTTCAGAGATATAAGCCAAAAACCGCATTTTATCCCTATGTTCTATTTTTAGCCATGTAGCCCATGTTGGTTGGCAGGCAGGGTCATCGGACACATTTTTTAAACTAGATACCATAATGATGATTGTGGCCAAGTTTAATAAAAACAACAAAATAATTTAAGAGAAGCTTTATTATATCTATTGATATATTCTAACCAAATATAAAGTTGTTGTTTGGGTGTGCACATACTTTTCCAATCTAAAATATAATTAAACTTAGAAGTAAAACAGGGAAAATCAAGAATTTGTAAAAAATATACACATTTTGTCATAGTTTGTTGCCATGGTAACTCTTTAAATATGAAATTAGTTTTTATTTTCTGAATACTAATGTAGTTATGACAAATTTAAAATAAATGGGGAATGTGTCCATGGGACAGATGATGTCCCCGCTTGCATATCATATAAAGTTATAAAGGGACATAACTCTAGAATGGTTAAAGTGACGCCACCAAAATTCAAACTTGATCTGTGTTTTGTGGTAATTAGCATTGTGTATAAGTTTCGTAACATTTGGTTGAGGCAAACTAAAGTTAGAGAACGGAAACCAACTTTGGGACGTACGTACGTACGTACGGACAAGGGTAAAACTTAATGCCCCCTCTGCTACGGCAGGGGCATAAAAATATTTGGTATCTTTTCAATTTGCACTTATATTTGGGCCAAATAAGGGCTTTATTGCCCTTATTCCTGTACATAATATTGGAAAAGCAACCAGTTAATGAAATCATAGCGTTATATATTATCATAATAATTTAACAGCAATTTGTTTTTAAACTAATTAACAGATTGGTAACTTTTTTCTTTAAATTGAGAATAATTAAACACTAACGAGCAATCAGTGAAAGACAAGTATATCTTTCCAATCAGCATCAAAGAGAATGTCCTTATTGTAATTACAATAAGCGTCTAAAGTGTTTTTGTAAGTAAAAGACGTCAAAGCAGGCTTTGTTGCCATTTCTACAAGGTTTACCCTAGCAGACATCCATGAAGACTTCTACAGACACATGGTATTATCTTACTGATCCAGCCTTTAAAAGTCCTGTCAAGTGCAAATCAATTTATGTAAAACAGTCATGATTCATGTCTTATTTTATTGTAAAGCAAGAAGTTTAAACATTAAAATGGTCAATAACATCGTAAGTAACAGAGTCAAAGTATTTTCTACATAGTTGATACAAAAAATGAAAAAAAAAAAAGACATTTCTATTTTCTAAGCTTTTCATCAGTATTCATTAGTGGGGTGAGTTGGCAGGGTTTTATTCAGCAGGATAAAACTCCTTTTCATCAATGGGGCAAGTTGGTAGGTCTGAATTCATTGGGATATGACTTCTATTTATTAGTGGGGTGTACTGGTAGGTCTTGTGAGATATAATATTTTCTATAACATACCTGTCAACCTATGAAAATGAAAATGCAGGTCATGACCTGAATTGAAGAAGAAAATCTCAGGTAATAACGCATACAAACTTTTTTCAGATGAATTTAAGTATTTAGGGAACATTTTTTTATATTTTAAATCAAACAGTTTCCAAAACATGTTCACATGGTAAAGTATTAACTGAAAATAATTTAAAACTTTAATTTTATTTTTTCATTGCATTTATAAACCATTGAAATATTAATCTTTTATACTATATCAATTCAAGCCAAGCCACACCCCCTCTTATTGTTTCATTCAGAGTTTTAAATCAACCTACAAGCCACAAGTTTTATTGTTTGTTAAGGCTATACAGCATCACTATACAGCTTTACTTAATATTCCATTTGAAGGTAGATGATACTAGAATATATAATTTAAAATTCAAGCATTTAAAGGAAGTAGAGATGAAAAAAATAATCATACCCAACTTTATCAGTCTTATTCAGGTCGATAAATATTGGCGGGTATACAATGTTGAAATGTATGCAATGACAATTTTTGTACACAAGTTAAAATTTGAATATTGACTTTTTTTTAATGCTTGGATTTTGTTTAAAACATTGAATTAAAAAAATAAATGACAATAGTCATATGCAATGAAGTCTCATTTAATTTTCTATGAAATAAAAAAAATCTATTAAATATAAAATTTGATTTAGAGTATATTTTTGTTATCCTTGTACATGTATTTTCAATAATGCTATAGGCTTAAAAATTATTTAAATAATTGTATCATGTTTGTTCATTTGTTCATCTATCTCACTAAGTTTATTTCATATGTATGATATACATCTATGAATTACAGATCTGAACCATGTCGAACATGGACCAAACATGATGACACTGAATTTTCATATAAATAGAATTATTTGCAAAAGCAGCTAAAATTTTCAGAATATTTAAAAGCAGTTGTAAATTATAACAAATAATGTGTTGTTACCAGCAGAAGGAGAACATTTTTTTTTACGTGTGAAAAACAATAACCCAAATTTAAAAATTGTTGTAATCAAGTGTTGTAGGTTTCATACTATTTATTACCTGTATGATACAAAATTTGCATTTACAAATATAATAGCTTTACACAAAGCTATTTACCAGGTAAAATTTATCTGCATAACTTCTTTTAGGAAAACATCCAATGTTTACATTTTGTCATTTGTTTGTTATTCAAAAACACTGACCCAAATCATGACCAACTGGACCAAACTATGACAAATTCACTGTACTAAACCCTCCTTGATATGACGACATTACAATCCATGTAAAGGGTCCACCTGAACCTTAATCTAGAATGGTTGTACAAAATATTACACTCACAATCGAAAATAGTAATACGTGTATCTATATTCTACAATTTCATACAAATAACAAATAAGAACACAGAAATCAATCCTGCCATTTCTCTGTCTGTTAAGTGGTCCACCACTGTACTCTATATGTTTGACTGTCCCTCTGGTATCTTTCGTCCCTCTTTTAGTTACTATTGAGGCTAAACCTTTTTTCGCCAGGGTTAATTAGACACAGTGATCTCATCAAGAAATGAGGAACTAAAATCGTTTTCAAGCAAGTTGTTGTTGGAGTTGACCATCAACAAACTGTAAGTTCAAGATGTGGCAAAGTAGCTTATTAGTCCATAAATGGAATATGGAATCTCAGCCCTCTTTACTAAATTAGAGATATTTAAATCTTTAAAATATTGTCTACAAATAGGGAAATTTCAGATTATTTTGAGATAAATTTGATGTTGCAATTTAAGGGATAAAGAATGTACATTGAAAATAACATATCTGAGCTCTTCATATAAAATCATTGACACAAAAAAAATCAAATTATGGTAATCATTTGGCAGTAAACTTTGAAGTGAAAATGTTAACTGCCAAATGATTACCTTAATTTGATTCTTTTTTAAATCCCATCATACCTCTTATCATATCTTTTTTATTTTCTAAAGTTCACAAGTTTACTAATTTATGACTACCTTTAGTATAAGTCATTCCTTGAGGTTGTTCTACTTTCTGTTTTGGTTCAGTTTTGAAGTGAAGATAAGGGTCTTTTGCAATTGTCCTCTTTCCTTGGAATCTGGTTTTTCCATAAACTCTGTTCATAAAATCTTCATCTTCGTATAAATTCCTGGAATCCTAGAAATATGATAATGAAGTTGCAAAACATTTAAAACTACAGTGATTTCATAAGACAAGAGTGCATACACTTAAACATCTCATCATCTTAATTATATATAACTGACTTACTACATGTATAAAAAAAAACTTACCATTGATTAATTAACCATGAAATGAGGTCAAAATCAGATGAATCTAGTGATTTTATAGAGCAAATATAGTTAAGTTATCACATGATATTAGTTGACATTGTTTAAACCTGAAATAGCTAACTATTTTCCTTATTTTATAAAAGTACTAAAATTCAAATATTTTTTTTTTAAATCAGTGTAAGATTATGCTAATTGCAATAAGAATAAAACAGTTCTAGCTTGAATAATCCTCTCCAATAAAGATGTGTTTGCCTCACTAAATAAGTCAAAGTTTTATAACTATATGTTGAATGCATCCATCCCATTGAACTTGAAAAAAAAGACTATACCACAGTCAAGTTAAGTCTGCTTCATATCTTGACTTTTAGATTCGATCCGGGTAAACTTATCGATCCTTTAAATAAACTAATTCTAAAAGGTTACCAATTCAACACTATAATTAGATCTTTGAATATTGTTTTTATTGGTATTAATATTGATTTTGTTATCAGTAGACTAAAATCAAACTAAATATTACTTTTATTTACATATGCACATTCATACAATCTGTCGATACCTGTATCTTGGCATTGCACCAGGTCATGTTTTTCTCTGACTGTTAATGACGTCTTTACACTAAATCCATTGGATGTTGGATGTGTACTGATTGATATTTTAGTCTTAGATGCATGATTTTTTTTATTAGTTGTTATTGGCTTTGAACTAGCTGTCAGTAACTGCGAGTACTCTCAGATCTGTACTTAGTGTCTTTTTGTTGTGGGGATGTATAAGTACCCTGCCACATCCACTCTTTGTTTTTGTTAGATGTATTTCTGCTTTGTATCTATCTGATGAGTTAAGCCCTTTTCAACTGATTTTTATAGTTTGTTCTTATATTGTACTGCTATACCACTGTCCCAGGTTAGGGGAGGGTTGGCGCCTCCAAGCTAGTTTAACCCCGCCACATTCTGTATGTGCCTGTTGTGACCTGTTGTGAATTGTTTTATATTTGTCATTTCGAAGCCTTTTATAGCTGACTATGCGGTATGGGTTTTACTCATTGTTGAAGGCGGTATGGTGACCTATAGTTGTTAATTTCTGTGTCATTTGGTCTCTTGTGAAGAGTTGTCTCATTGGCAATCATACCACATCATCTTATTATTATATTTACATCTGGAAATTGATTATGAGGGTCAGTTTGAAAACTAAATTTTATGACAATAAAGATGACCCGTCCCTAGATCTTCCATCAATTTCTTCATTTTCCATCAACACTTGATGGACAATTGATGGAAAGTTGATGGTACTTGATGGAATTCCATCTCAAGCCCAAAAAATCCATCAAAGGATGATGGAAATAAGGAATGTTATTTCCATCAACATTTTTTTTATGGAAAATTTGATGGCATTTTTAACCCCTGATGGAAAATTTGATGGCATTTTTACCCCTTGATGGAAAATATGATGGCATTTATTCCATCTGATGGTAAGTAGGATGGAAATGTAGAAAGTTTGATGGAAATTGGACTTAGAAAATTTCTTTGATGGAAAGTGGGATGGAAAGTGGGATGGAATTTGAAACTTGTCTTTTAAAATGTCAGACATAATAGTTTCAAAGGATGTTTCAAGCATTTTTCTTCTAAAATTTTACACATGATTAGTTTTTAACAATTACTTTCATTACACAACATGTTTCTTTGAATTATTGGTTATGATTCCTTATAATTATCTATTTATTTCATCCTTAATGACTCACGCTTCATGTTGCTCAGAAGTATTGTGGTATAAATTATAAAAAAAAAGATCCTCAAATAAAAATGCTTACAAATAATTTCCTAAACTGTACAATACACTTATGATATCTTGTAACAGGAAAGGATTTCAAGAATACTTTGGTTTTTATTTCAACCAGTGTAAATTAATTAATTGTGACAAATTAATTTTTGTTCAATAACTTTTTGTCACTATTTATGTGACTTTGTTCTGTGAACAACATTTTTATTTTTATATTTTCCATCAAATGAATTAAGCCTCACCTGTTGCAGGTTACATTTTGTTTAATTTCTAGCATCTTTATTTAATTGTGTATACACAAATTATTTGCATGCCCTCTTTCTCATCAATTTGAAATATGAGCTGGTGATAGAAACATAATGTGCCATCTGTTTTCCATTTATCTCTGTAGACAGGAATTATTATAAATGTACACAGAGTTTGAGGCCAAATGAAGGGGAGCACATGTTTTTATATATTTTCCTGCAATTACTATGGCTTATAACATAATGATAAAAAATAAACAATAAATGGATATTTTATATATATATATATATAGTTTTTGCACCTTTTGTTTGCGGTATACCATCTTTTCCGCAAGTTTATTGTTTTCTGTTTGGTTATTATTAAATTAATAATTTTAAAAAATCCATTTTGTAACATCTTGTGATCCGTTTATTTGGCAATCGCCAATGGCAGTCAGCAGGGCTTAAGAACATCTGTTGTTCGACCTGTTAGTCAAATGCGTTTTGTTAAAATATACTTCACTTTTTAGGTCTTTTGGAAAATGTTGTTTGTGCTGTATTTAGACCCCTCTATCAAGAAATTTGTTTTGCATGCACACGTATAAAAATTGCGGTTTTTATCCAACGCAATCATAGGTTTGAACGTTGTTTTCAATTTAGACTTGTTTATATTTTTTTGTTTGGGCTTGTATTATATTTTCCTTCAGGTTTATATGATCCATTCATCCTATTTCTAATATTTCGACTCTTCAAAATTCAAGAGTCTATCCTAAATTGAGGTAAATTATATGGCCTTCCAAATACCGTTTCGATTCCTAACATCACTGAAGAGACATTAATTGTCCAAATCCGGATATGGTGTACTAATTTTTGCACCTCTTGTTTGCGGTATACCATCTTTTCCGCAAGTTTATTGTTTTCTGTTTGGTTATAATTAAATTAATAATTTTAAAAGATCCAGTTTGTAACATCTTGTGATCCGTTTATTTGGATATCGCCAATGGCAGTCAGCACGGTTTAAGGACATCTGTTGTTTGACCTGTTAGTCAAATGCGTTTTGTTAAAATATACTTTTTCACTGTTTAGGTCTTTTGGAAAATGTTGTTTGTGCTGTATTTAGACCCCTCTATCAAGAAATCTGTTTTGCATGCACACATATAAAAATTGCGGTTTTTATCCAACACAATCATAGGTTTTGAACGTTGTTTTCAATTTAGACTTGTTTATATTTTTTTGTTTGGGCTTGTATTATATTTTCCTTCGGGTTAATATGATCCATTCATCCTATTTCTAATATTTCGACTCTTCAAAATTCAAGAGTCTATCCTAATTTGAGGTAAATTATATGGCCTTCCAAATACCGTTTCGATCCCTAACATCACTGAAGAGACATAAATTGTCGAAATCCAGATATGGTGTACTAATTTTTGCACCTTTTGTTTGCGGTATACCATCTTTTCCGCAAGTTTATTGTTTTCTGTTTGGTATTAAATTAATAATTTTAAAAAATCCATTTTGCAACATCTTGTGATCTGTTTATTTGGCAATCGCCAATGGCAGTCAGCAGGGTTTAAGAACATCTGTTGTTCGACCTGTTAGTCAAATGTGTTTTGTTAAAATATACTTTTTCACTTTTTAGGTCTTCTGGAAAATGTTGTTTGTGCTGTATTTAGACCCCTCTATCAAGAAATTTGTTTTGCATGCACACTTATAAAAATTGCGGTTTTTATCCAACGCAATCATAGGTTTGAAAGTTGTTTTCAATTTAGACTTGTTTATAGTTATATAGTTATATATATATATATCTTGTTTCAGATAAGGGTGGAGGTTGGTACCTATTAAAACGTTTAAACCCGTTGCATTTGTTTGCACCGGTCCTAAGTCAGGAATCTGATGTTCAGTTAGTTATCGTTTGTTGATGTGGTTTATAAGTGTTTCTCGTTTCTCATTTTTTATATAGATTAGACCGTTGGTTTTCCCGTTTGAATGGTTTTACACTAGTAATTTTTGGGGGCCTTTATAGCTTGCTGTTCGGTGTGAGCCAAGGCTCCGTGTTGAAGACTGTACTTTGACCTATAATGGTTTACTTTTACAAATTGTGACTTGGATGGAGAGTTGTCTCTTTGGCACTCATACCACATCTTCTTATATCTATAGCAAATATTCAAGATTTAAGTAATTAACAGTATTTATTAGGGTCACATTTCAAAGGAATCAGATTGTCACAATACCCTTAACTACCTCAACATATCAACAAATTCAAATTTGAACTTGACATAGATATGCAGACAACAAGCAAAGATGTCTTCTATCATGAACAAAATATGAATTTTACAATGGATGTAGATCAAAAAGTTCCAATTAATTCTATTGACATTGAATAGTGCAGATTTAGTCTTCTGATGACATGACTCTTTGATAATAGGAAGATTGATGTTCACACATATTTTGGATTACATCTTTTGAGTAAGTACAATGAATTAGAATGTCCACCATTTTGAATATTAGCATGCTTTTTTAGTTCAAAATAGTGATATTTTCTTCTTAACTTTTGAGAGACAAGAAAAAAATCTAGACAATAGATTTATGCATATAAATATTATTAAAATTGTGTAAGACAGGAGACTAATATTGTTTTGTATCTTTTTAAGACAATCTGTTGTTTTGTATCTTTTTAAGGCAATCTGTTTAATAAAGTATTACTTAAAATAAGAATCTTCTAATAAAGTAATTTTGGTATAAAATTAGAGATCTGTGGTATGACTGCCAATAAGACATCTATCCACAAATGACAAAACAATATATCTTTATATACACAATTACGCACCAAAATCATGATTTAAAAAAATGGGCAAGACCCATTATGTTA